AATTCGTGATCCATTACTTCATATGTGAAGCAAAGAGGGTGTGCGGCGCCCCTATATCGGGCCGCGTCACGACGTAGATCCGATGGAGTCCGTCTGTGGTTGTCGGCTCGGGTGTGACTAGGTTTGTCACATCAGAATAGGTAGCCATCATCACGTGTTGAGGAACGTCCTCATGATCCGTAAATCGATCGGGTATATCCTGCTCTACTATCCAAGGCTGTCGGAGGTCGTGTGTATGACCCCGAACTGTTTTGTCTCTGTTTTTTCGTGGCGGCGGGGTGGGCTGCTGTTCGGCTTGAATTGCCGCTCTATCCCGACCACGAGGTGGTCGGTTCTCCGCACTGTCCCGACCAGGTAGTGTTCGGTCGGCCGCATTACACGAGGGAAGTATGGGCTCCGGCGCCTCTTCATCAAACTGAGGTAGCAACCTTCGCTTTGGGTAACTCTTGGCTAGGCATATGAGGCTGTATTCTTCGGCTGCCAGGACGTCAGTCCACCTGTCGACGATCAGATCTTGGTCAGCTTGAAGCTGCCGCTGCTTCTTTTTCAGGCTCCTTGCGGTGGCTATTAGCTGGCGCTTGAAGCGCTCCTGCTCAAGAGGTTCCTCAGGCACGATGAAATCTTCCTTGCTGAGACTTTCCTCATCCTCAGAGAGCGGATGATAACTACCGTCCTCCGAGTCGTTAGGCCTGGCCTGTTCGTCGGGGCTGGCTTGCCCGTTTTCTTGCTCCTCCTGTTCGGATGTTACCTCAGCAAGGTCTTCATTGTTTTCGGCATCGTCCGGAGTATTGTCTTCTCCGGTGCCGGTATTGTTGTCCTTTGAACGACGTGACTTAGAGCAGCACCGAGGACGCCGGCGTTTTTGCTGTGTCTCAGGAGGTTAATTCTCAACTGGATTTTCTTTGTCATCGCCGCTATTCTCCTTTGGTGCATCCACCATGTACACGTCGTACGAGAAAGTGGCCATCCAACGTCCGGTGAACGGCGGGTCCTGGGCCTCTTCTTCTCCGGCATCGTCGTCCATACCATCAATGTCATCGGGGTCGTAATCGAGCATGTCAGTTAAGTCTTCGACTGTGGCTATAAAGTGGGTGGCGGGTGGGGAGCGAAATTCCCTGTCATCAGCTTCTAGTTCGAACCGGGTATAGTTCGTCTGTGAGTCCCCTGCCAAGGACAAGCTATTTAATGAGCTTAGCACATCGCCCAAGGGTGAGTCCTGGAAGATGTCTGCGGCACTGAACTCGAAGATCGATAAACGATCAAGTTTGGCATCTGTGGACTCACATGGTTCGGAACTTACACCCAGAGACAAGTCCGGGGTTCCGGTGACACAAATATTGTGTGAGTTTAAGTCCATGTGCAGTTCCAACGCCGGGGAATCTGTGGCCTCCGTGGTGGGGTTGAACCTCCAGTCCTTAGATGGCGTCGTATGCTCCGGATCTAAGGCCAGAGCAATTACAGAGCTATCTCCTGAATGTGGTCCGATGACAGATTTAGGTCATGTTCATTGAGGTGACCAGGAGCGATCGCCGCGGTCTCGAATCCAGTGAAGATCAAATCTCCACGGATGTCCGCGACGTAGTTCAAGCTCCCAAACCTGACCTGATGGCCAGGGGTGTAGCTATCGATCTGCTCTAGATGGCCAAAAGAGTTGGCCCGTAGTGCGAAGCCACCGAACACGAAAATCCATCCGAGGAGGAAGGTTTCTCCTTGGACAGTGTCATTGTTGATGATTGAAGGGGCCATCGAACCTTTTGGGGACGGCACAGTGGAACTCTCAATGAAAGCACCAACGTCGGTGTCAAAACCGGCGGATCTCGGGTAGGGGGTCCCGAACTGTGCGTCTAAGGTCGATGGTAACAAGAGACAGGGGACACGATGTTTACCCAGGTTCGGGCCCTCTCTATGGAGGTAATACCCTACGTCCTGCTTGATTGATCTTGATCAATATGAGTATTACAAGAGTTGATCTACCACGAGATCATAATGGCTAAACCCTAGAAGTCTAGACTGTATGACTATGATAATGAATCTCCTCCCTCCGGACTAATTCCTCCGGTTTATATAGACACCGGGAGGATCTGGGATTACACAAGGTCGGTTACAAAGAAAGGAATCTATATATTTAGTCGCCAAGCTTGCCTTCCACGCCAAGGAGAGTCCCATCCGGACTCTGGTGCAGTCTTCGGTATTCGTATCTTCACAGCCCATCAGTCTGGCCCATGGCCAACAGGCCGGACGCCCGAGGACCCCTTAGTCCAGGACTCCCTTAGCCGTGGCGGCCATGGTCGCGGATGACCCGAGCTTCGTCGACTAGCAGTAGGCGCTCTTCGATTTCGCGCGTGGCTCTTGTGCCGACTAGTACGCACGGTGGCTCCACATCCTCAACACGGAGGAGCGTGCAACCTACAACGTGATCACGACAGAGATAAGGAATGCGATTGCGAATGGAGACGTGGTGACCACCAGCTTCAGGGGGTCCTCGTTCGCTCTGGCTTGCAACGACTGGGAGGCGAGGCCATCCAGGTCGATCATCGACCTCACCTCCACCGGTAACGTCGATGACCAGGCGACGGACTCCGGCAAAGAGTAGGACGTGGGACACGAACATGCCAATGTCCGGCGAAGCGTAGATTAGGCTCGGTTAACTTTGTGCTATGTAAAACAAAAAATATTATGAAATTTATCCAGTTTGCATGAATTTTTTTGCTTTATATGAAATTTGTACAGTTTGTTCAATTCTGTCTGAAATGTGTCCGGGCGTTTACGGGTTGTGGTTGGATGGTCGGCTTCCGTATCTGTGTCCGTCGATTGATACTGTGTCCATTTGAGGGGATAACGTAGGATATGACCTTACATGGTAAGAGATAGTATATCCAGGTGTTAGAGATATATTTGGGTTACATATATTTGATAGTTTAGGATTTGTAATCCGTCTCCTACCTTATCTCTAGGAGAGTCTTCTTTCTCTTCAAGTCTGTACTCATATATATACTCGCCCGTGAGGCTTAATACAACATCCATCATATTCTGCCAATCCTTCTCTATTCCCTTCTAACATGGTATCAGTCGCAAGTTCCTAGACCTAGCTGCCGCATGCTTTGGCACCGCGCCGCCCCTGGGAAGGTCGATCTCAATGATCTTCACCGGGGCCACGCGACCCATAGCAGGGTTCGTGCGCCGATCTGTGATCGGCTGCCCTGGTGAGTTTTTTTCGATCTCTTGATCGGTTTTCTCTCCGTCGGTCATTTTTGCTGGTATTTTCTTTTTTGGTTCACCGATCATAGATCAGATTGCGTCGCCCACCACTGCCATCGACCCCCGCGCGCCTCTACTCCAACATTGGCACGACCCCCCGGCTTCCACTCTGACCCAACGGCCTCACGCAACATGCCTGCCTATCACGGCCGTCGTCCGTGTTTTGCTGCCTGTCGGTCTATGCCGGCCGTAACCGCCTCTACTCTGACATCGACGCAACCACCCGGCCTCTTCTCTGACCTGACAACCTCACGCAACGTGGTGGCCTTTGCGGTCGTTAGCTATGCGTCTGCCCCTGGTCACATTGCATTGGCCGTCGCCACCCTGCTCCGAACGGGCTCCTACATCACCTACCGTCTCCGCAGCCGCCGTCTACTCCGACCACCATTGGCGACATCGGCCTCGCGCCGATTGGCGCCACAACCGTCGTCGAGTCCTTCTCTGCTAGCCCCTCCGTCTTCTCCGACATGGCATACAGCTCGTGCAGGTCCCCGTCTATGCATGCTCGATGCTGGCAACACCGACGCGTGCCTTCGTCCTTGGTGTGTTCCTAGGCCTGGCAAGCCTGGAGCGGCGCATCGTCAACATCGACTTCGTTCGTCTACGCATGCCCGGTGCTACCAACACCGATGCGTGCTTTCGTCGAGAATGTGTCCTCGGGCTTGGGAAACTCGGCGCGATGCTTTGTCAACACCGACTTCTTCCTGGCGCACCACTACTTCGACACCACTGCGCCCATGACTAACTCGGCGCCTCCTTGCGTCCACGGCTCCATGACGACTTCCTCGAAACCGGCCACCCCGACTCGACATCGACTATGACATTCTTCACACGGCTACCTCGTCACGGCTATGGCACCTACGCTCTCGGCTACCTAGACAATGACACAAAGGGCTATCACCTCGCTTGAGCAACTCATCGGCTTCCTCTACAGTCCACGCGTCCGCGATGCGACACCGTCCCCGACGCTTTCGCTACGACTGCGGGCGCATGTCAGCCCGTTGGCTGTTATTCTCTCCAGTCTGCTCGTCCGCGACGCTCTTATTGTTCGCAACGCTACCGCTACGACTGTAGGGGGTGTTAGAGATATATTTGAGTTGCATGTATTTGATAGTCTAGGATTTGTAATCTGTCTCTTAACTTATCTCTAGGAGAGACTTCTTACCATCCAAGTCTGTACACCTAGATACAATATCCATCATATTGCGTCAATCCCTCTCTATTCCCTTCTAATACCAGGCTATATGTCGTTGCTTTATTAATGTTTGGCCCAGCTAACTCTCATAAAGTTTTTTAGAGCTGACTGTTTATCTACAACCCTATTTATATTTCTCTCTCATTCAACTCAACATAAAAATAATATTCAAATCTTTATGGCATGCTTACATCACCCTATCACATTACACTTGCTCTAAAAAGACGACTGAAGTTGTGAGGAAGTTTCTGTGGGTAATTCGCAAAGAAACACACCTCACATTTCAGTATCAACAGCGCTACAGGTCATCAGAGCCGATTTCAGCTATCGATCCAACACCTCACGAGGCGCGCAGTAGGCAGTGTT